AGTATGTGATTGTGTAATTAAAGACAGCAGCTGTAGCACTAGGGACTCTGCTCTTTAGGGCAGGGACTGTCTTTGTTGTGTTTGTACTGCACCTAGCACTGTGGGCTAATGGCCCATGACTGGGATTATTATGCACTACAGTAGTACAGATAAAAAAGAATGCATTCATAACAAGGATACTGAATTAAGGTTGCCCGGGCAATCTTGATTCCAGCATTATTTAACTTTTGAGTGCTCGACTTTGCAAGCTTAATGTTTTTGATGTAGTTTGTGTGTAATCTTAGTTATATTTACCTACACAAGTTCCAATATAGCATAGACATAATTGCTTTACTATCTCTACACCGATGGTACCACACACGCATTGCATGCTGTAGAATACTATAAAAAGACCTTAAACGCTCCAGTAGCAGGCTTGAGCCCAATGCTGGTCTCCTCCCGTTCTACCTGGGAACTAGCTTTTGGTGAACACTCTGCCCCCATCTGATAAAGAATGGACTCTGGAGGATCAGTTATACACTAACTGTAACCTTAGATCTCTCCTACCACTTACTAGTTTCCAGGCAACTGTAACCTTATTCAGACAGGCCTTCTTCTCTGTTGCTCGTGACAAATAAAATAAATGTCCAGTTCTCATTCCCCTCCCCACTCCAAAACTATCCCTGGCCCAACCATTTTCCACATACAAATTAAACAAACATCTTAGCTTCCCCTCCCCCCGAATTCTCAAATAGGCTGATTTAAAACCTGTGTCCGGAGTGCAGACCAGCTTTACTGTCTCTCTCACTCCCAGAACTCACAGGAGGGCCTCAGTGCTAGGGAAGGGCAGACCGAGACCCTCTAGTCCATGTACCTGCATATCTGGAATTGAAATGGAAGTGTAAAGATAAATTTCATAAGAGGGCTGCTAAGAAGCCAGGAACGGTCTAGAACAGGAACAGAAGTCAGGATTTAAGGGAGTGATGTCGACAGCAAATAGTTCATGAGCTGAACCCATAAGTGACTTGCAATAGTTTACTGAACTCCAGTGACAGTTTCCACTAATAAGCTCTAAGCTATTAAAAATTCCATCCTTAAGATCTCAATAGTCCCTCCTAACAGGACTTTCCTGTACTGACCCAGTTTCTCTCTCCCCTCCACACCTTAAAATAAAAAGGACAAATTCATCCACGATACAATACCACTGACTTCAGTGATGTTTCCCCAGCAAAGAATGTGGCCCAAAGCCTTTTCTGAGAGTAAGACTGAGGGATCTTTTATAGAGAGAGTTTTTCATGCTGGAAGATGCCAAGATGTTTCACGCTCTATAGAAACAGAGCCATCAACTAGCGGCCCTCCCCTTTATGATTGCCCCCTCCACACTTAAGAGGAAGGGGCAAAAGGGGATCCTTTTGGCTGGGGCATCTCTGATTATGCTATGGTACTTTTCGATGTCCACACAAAGCAAATGAGTCAACTGAATTGCATGGTGCATAGTTTGTTTATCTACCTTACAAGGGCTTAGTCAATTCTGCTGAGACTTGAGCCTGCATTTCCAAGGAATCTGGGTGTTTCAACCTGAAGCTTAGATCACTAAACAATCCCACTAGTCATGTGGTAGAGATTCCAGTCTCTACCTTCATGCCAGCTAATAGAGGATTGCTCCTTACATTACTTTGTCCAACAAGAGATGGCATTCCCATAAATTCCCTTTGGAAGTTATTCCATAGCATTAAGCAAAAAACAATTGGATGGATGGATGGATCTGTACAACCAGTGCCAGGACTGAAATTCATGGGCTGGTAATACTATGAGCCACACACCAAGATTCTCTCTCCCCACCTTACTAAGAGCAATAGGATCCAGGAACTAGCATGGATATTAAAGCCTACCTACAGTACAGAAACTGGAAGAACAAACTTTATCCTTCTGACTACTAACACCAGACCAAATCCAATTTCAGAAACTCAAGATCCAAAAATGTGTGGCCATCTGAACTCCTTTCTCCTACTTCCTCCACCTTAATAAGTATTGTTGTTATAGGCACAATTCCTTTTCCTATAAAAAAAGTCACCTGAAATCTTGTGCAGCCTCTGCTTCTTACTACTATTCTTCAATATTCCATAGCAAAGAGACAGAAAGCTCTCACAGCTGTGCTTCATCAAAAGTCAGTATATTTAATGGAGAACAATGACATCTAGTGACTGGAATTAAAGTCTGCCTTACTGAGTTTCCAGCTCAGCAGTTAAACACTATGGCAAGGACATAAAGCGATCAGTGTTGGCTTAACTCCACTCACTTTGGTTACTGGTAAGAATCCCAGCAACTTCAATGGGAAGAGAGTTAGGTCAACATTGAGAACTTCTGAAGTGTCTCTCTACATGTTGTGGGGTGGGGCCCCCATGTTGTAGTCTTTACTACACACTTCCATCTGTTCTCTGGCTTTCTTCACTTCTCCAGACCCTTATATATGCAACCTATTGACAAGGCAAGGTGGGGCATGTGAGAACTGTTTTAGGCCTGGTCTGCATGAGAAAGGTTGTACTGAAGAAACTAAGGTGTGAACCTAAATCCATGTAGTTTTGCTAGTATAACCCCTGTGTAGACACATTTATTCCAGTTTGCGTGGCCTTTTTTCAGTTTAGCTTAAACTCCTTCACAAGTAACAAACTAAACTGGCAAAAGGCCCCTCATATACCAGAATAAGAGTGTCAACACAAGGGGTTAAGCCAGTATAAATGGTACAAATCAGTACAAAACAGTAAAACTTTCCCATGTAGACAAGGCCTAGGAAAAGGGTGGTACAGAACTCTCCATGTAAAATTCATTCCAGAGAATGGTGTGGCTGGTCCATACATACCTTGTGAACAACGAGACCCCATTACAGATAAGTATCTTAGCAAACTTACTCCAATCCAAATGTGTCATCTCCACTGAAATGACAGGAGACAGGAATACTCTACTCTGCTCCAGAATAGCAGAGAACAAGGTCTTGGAGCTGCTCCTTGACACATCAGATACCATATTCTATGTAGAAAACAAATGTTGAACAACCATGTGGGAGAAGGGTTAAAATTTCTTCAATTTTCAAACATATTGAGATAACATCTCAGCTGTTAAGGACACCTGTACTCTAAGACAGCCATGAACACACAAATGTGTGATTATGAAACTCCTTTAGTAGATGCTATGACGTGTGCGGAGGACACATTTCCACAGTGGTTGAAGAGGGCCAGTGTTATGGGACACTGCTAGAGTTCTAGCTGGCATTAGCAGGACACTGCACTGAGGGTGATCATTGTGCTTTGAAATCCATCAAAATGCTAGGTGACATTTCTGTGAAGGCTCAAGGTAACAAACAGAACTTGTTGCCCAAACATACAGCCCCTTGAACAGGCAGGCTTCAAAACAGTTATCCATTTAAATTTTGACTAAGTAGAATAGTCTAGTGCTTGAGGAGAGACGGGATCAAAAGACTCCCATGTTTCTATTCTACCTTTGACAAAGACTTGCTCGGAGAATCCTTAATCTGTAACTCAGTTTCCCCATTTTGCAAATACACAGGAATATTCTCTCTTTAGAAGGGAGTATAGAATGATTAATGCTTGTATTGTGCTCTGAAGTATTTGGTATTGTAAAACAAAACAGTTCAAGAGCTTTGAATGTAAAAGAACTGTCCTGTAATTCTAAAACTCCAGAGGGAGAGAGCTGTGGACATCTGAAAGGAATGAGGAGGAAGACAGCCTCCAAACTGAGCAATTTGAAATCCCCTGGGGTGGATTAAAATTAATTTGGATTATGATCTTTTACAAAGCAATGACAAAGGCAGAAGACGGCCCATCCCCAATTTTTATCAGAACTACTTTCATCATGTATAAAACGCACACAAGCTTCCAGCCAAGAAACAAAAATCCAGCAGTCAATCATATCAGGAAGGTTTAATGTAGAATTTCAAAGACATCACATTCAATAAGTGAGAGACATACCTCATGTGTCTTCATCACAAAAGCCTTCTGGTACAGAGAGCAGCTCTCTCAAGTCAAACAGCAATCCAGAACCAACCAAAAAAGAGAACTGATAAGCCATCAACAAGCACTAATATCTGGCACTAATGAAACTAGTTATTCAGCAGCTCTAGTAGTAAAAAGATAATATTTCCAATAGCAACAGTTCTTTCTACTACTGAAATGCAGCTCTGACAGTGTTCATTTAGGGCAGGGGTGGGCAAACCTTTTGGCCCGAGGAACACATTGGGGTTGCAAAATGGTATGGAGGGCCGGGTAAGGAAAGCTGTGCCTCCCCAAACAGCCTGTCCCTAGCCCCCTCCCACTTCCCCCCTCAGAACTCCCGACCCATCCAACCCCTCCCCCGCACTCCTTGTCCCCTGACCGCCCCCTCCTGGGACCCCCGTCCCTAACTGCCCCCCCAGGACCCCACCCCCATTCAACCCCCCTGCTCCCCACCCCCTATCCAACCTCCCCCCACTCCCTGTCTCCTGAGCGCCCCCACCCCATCCAACTGCCCCCTGGGACCTCCTGCCCCTTATCCAACTCTCCCCACCCCCTTACCATGCTGGCGGCAGGACAGGCTTATTGGAAAGTCTGGGAGGTGGGCAGGTGCAAGCCGTGCTAGCACCTTAGCTGCAAGGGAGAGGAGACAGCAGGGGAGGGGCCGGGGGGCTAGCCTCCCTGGCCGGGAGCTCAGGGGCCAGGCAGGATGGTCCCGCAGGTCGGATGTGGCCCGCGCGCCATAGTTTGCCCACCTCTGATTTAAGGCCTCTTCCTGCCAGCATTGCACAAGTAAAACATTGCAGGCTAAGCCCTCAGTTAGGAAATGCTCTGATCAGAAGTTGGGGAAGCTCTACTGGAACCCTGTGAGGCTACTAAGACCCGCAGTTAAGAAGACAAAATGTAATTTTGTATTACACCAAGACCCAGTTCCACAGTCACAGCAGCTGTCGTGAGTGGCTAGCAGGTCACAGACAGGTTCTCAAGACAAGAACATAAGTTTTATAGAAGTCAGGAGAGATTTTTTTTTTTTTTTAATTTCCTCTCAACTAAAATGACAAATATCCACCACCGCTTTACAAAACGTGATTCTCACTGCTGCCCCTCACTTGTTGATCTTTGTGATTTAGTCCCAGCCAAAGCTCCATGGGAAGTTTAGTTCCTTCATGAGGAAGTGCTGACAGATCTAAATGTCACATGCCACTACTAACCCCTACTAAGGTCCTAGAGAAAAATCTCATCCTCCACCTCAAGTGTAATGATCTCCCTGTCAAAAACAGGACCAAAAAAAAAAAAAAAATCTTCCAATGCTGAGCAGCATCTGGAGGGGTTGGGGAGAAATACACTGACCTACAGGAGCACTCAACTAAGCCATGAAGGGAACAGTTAGATTGCTTGGCAAAGGACGCCAAAGACTCTCAAGTTTCTGCTTCAAGATGAAAGATGAAATGGTGTCACTGACTCATAGAGAAGTGCTGTGGTCAGTCCTTGAGGATACTGATTGCTAGACTTTCATTGGAGTGCCCACTCAGTGGTGCTACCTGTGAAGTATCATTATATGTAATACTCAAATTACCATTAGCAAGTATTGTACTTCAGTGGTGCTGGAACCAAAACAGGTAATTGGGCAAAATGTCCCAGTATGGGTATTCAGAATGGACTACAGTATAATGGCTGGAAACAAAATGAAGAGATCCTACAGAAGATTCAACTGTATGGATCAGACCAAAAAACTTGTTGGAAAACTGGGGAAAGACCACAACCCCGAAATTCCAGACACAGGGATTAAGATGCATCTTTTTAGACACTGCGCTGCTTAAGAATCATATTTTTATGTTATTATACAGAACCATGCATTCGTGTAACAGGACAGATGTTTGTAGACACACATGTAAACGCAAGTCTATTGCCTTCCTTTTACATTTCTGTCAGTAAAGCTGACTAAACAATCTCATTAGGAAGCAAACTAAAAGCAATTCCTAATTTGAAAGTGATGAATGAAAGCCTATGCCACCAAGCACTCCCCACTGCTTCTTCCCATCGCCCCAGTCTTCACCTGAATTAATACTATAAAATGGGGAAGCAATCCAACTGAATGAAATCATTTTTCTGTTCCCAGTTCTCTCTGGGCAATGAGGTATTCTTATCTTCATGCCAAAGGGTCTCATAAGAGCAGCTTCAAGAGGCAAGCTCAAGCTCACCTTCAGAGAGAAGCCAGAAGAAGTTCTGAGGCATTTGTGGAAATTAATCTTCCAGTTCTTAGACAACCGTAACCATTTCTCTCATAGTCCTCCAGGACTAACTCATTGCTTTCCACATAACAGTACCAGCTGCTCTCTCCTTAGAGCTCTATCGAATCCATTTGTTTTCAGATTTCTGGAGGCTAATTCCTAATATGCATATTTCACAGACAGTGGACATGACGTATAACTCAAAGTTTTGTGTTCATGCGCAGCCTCGAACAATAACTGTGTGATCCTACAGCCAACTCTGCCTCTCTTCTTCATACTTTTGTGGGTCAATGAAAGGCTTGTCTATGGACCGGATCATCAGCTCCCCACAGTACACGCATTCAGCTGCTACAATATCATCAATGTCTGCTTTGATCTGTTCCCGACTCTGCTGTCCCTTCCCCAAGCTGGTGGCATCTGTCTCCTTGGGGCGATGATGGGCTTTGGAGGGCTGGCTTGTGGCTCCCAGCTTCTTCTGAAGGTCTTCTAGCTTAGCTTGCTTGTAGGCAGGCAGGTTTGGAAAAACTGCCTGGAACAGACAGTCATAGTGGAACATGTGGCCGCAAAGGAAAAGGTAGAAAGGGCGGTTTAGGAGTGGAAAGTCACAGGCTGCGCACTTCTCCTGAGGCTCCACAGAGCCATATTTGTTTCTCATCTCCTGGATGTCCTCCCGGATTCTCTTGGCACTCTGTGTAGCTTCCTCCATCTCTCTCTTCAGCTCCTCAATGTGCCTGTTGTAGTCCTCCAGAGAGTTGCAGATTGCCTCCTTGAAGTGGTCGATGGTGACAAAGTCAGGGAAGAAGGGAAGGACGTCTTCAATCTTTAGTAGGTTGCAGCTAGAAAGGCAGGCCATAGCCTTCTTGACGTCCTTCTCTTCCTGGACCACGTGGCGAGCAATTTTCAACCAGAGCTTCTTCCGGAGTTCCTCATCCTCTTCAGGGAGGTCTGCACATGACTTTGCTAGATCCACGTCCACCTGAAAATTGAACAGAACAGTAAGGAAACAAAATTATGATTTCCTCTTCACTTCTCTCTCTGTCATGAGAGCCCACTACCAGTAAAGGAAGGACACGAGTAGGAGATCTCTCCATTATGTCAGTCATAACTACAGCTATACAGTGGACATGCCCACTTGGCTGTTTGTCAGCCACATCCTCTCTCCCCCGGAGACAGCCACTCCCAACACAAAAGGTGTGCATAGCAATTCTGGATCACTTTGAAGAGTCATTAGGGTCCAGGAACACAACAGGAAGGTCTAGCTCTCCAAAGCCACTAGTGACCTTCGACCTCCAAGGTTACACCAATGCATTAAGTATCCACCCTCACACAGCAGGCACAGTTACAATTTTTGACCTTTACCAAGCTAGAGCATTTATCTCCTCCACACTATTCTCTATACTCAGAATGTAGGATTCTGCAAATATTGTGATGAACTAAACTCAGTAAATGTCAGCACTTTAAATTGTACACACTGCACTATCATCATTCAGAACCTAAGTTACCTCTACACTAATTTAAACTTTCTACAAGATGACCAAGGGGGGATAAATTCATTTTAAGTTTTTCTTGCCTTTTTTTTTTATATTAAATCAGGAGATTAAGAATAGGGTGGGATCCTCAGATCAGCAGAGCTGGTTATCAACGAGCAGAGTTCCACAGAGCCAGGACTGCATTAACAGAAACCATATCCCCCACCACACAGTCTCTTTCACTCTCCTAAGATTATGGTCTGTGAAAGTCAGATATCCACTGTGGGTATCTTTACACTACAATTAGACACCCAGGGCTGGCCCATGCCATCTGACTCAGGCTAAAGAACTGTTTAATTGTGGTACACACATTTCAAATCGGGCTGCAAGCCTCAGCTCTGGGACCCTCCCACCTCGCAGGGTCCTAGAGTCTGGGATCTAGACCGAGCCCAAACATCTACATCGCAATTAAACAGCCCCTTAGCATGGGCCAGAGTCAGCTGGCACAGGCCAGCCAATTTTTAATTGGAGTGTAAACATACCCTGATAGTTCTGAGCTTCCACTATTGCTCTAAGTTAATATGGCGACAGACATTCCCTCCCTTTCTTGGGGCCTTTATAACCCTTTAAACACACCAGCCAGCCTTCCCACCCCTTCCCTTTAAGAAAGAGACAGCTCTCCACCATTGGACCTTCAAGAACAAATTAACTAAGAGTACTAAACATAGTAGCACACACCTGCAGAGCTAGATCCACTGCTTCCTCATATAACTCCATCACTTTGTAAACATGGACACAGGCTCGGTGGTGTCCATGCTCTGCACACAACCGAAGCGCATACTTCAGGTCATAGTGGATCCTGTTAGGGTTGGCTCCTGCTTGTTTGAGATATGATAGCAGCGAGTCTGGCCGACACAAAGCATAGAGAGACAACAGATAGTTGTGAATGGCTTGCTCAGTTTCCTCCAGCTCACACACACAGAATTCCATGTATCGAATAGCTTCACTGATCTGTTGGGTGCTCCCACTTTGGCTGTAGTTGACGAGGGCAGGTATGAGCTTCCTGGCATCCAGTTTCGTGCCCATGGAGATCCAAGCATCAACCACCTTCTTGGGGATGTGCTGGATCAGGACCGGAGAGAACTTGTAAAAGAGCTTCTCATCCCTGTGTCTGGTAAGGATGTTCAGGGCTTCATCATAGTCATCGTGCTGGCAGTGATGGGCTACCACTCTCTCATAGTCCTGCATAATAACTGAAAAATAGACCATGTGTTCTGTGTCCCCATGGCTTGCTAGCAACTCATAGATGGACGCTCGGTTATTGAACAGGCACTCTTTGTTTCTGGGGCTGCTCAGGAAGCTGCAGAACTTCTCCCGAGTTGCCTCAAAGAGATTCCTTTTCGAGGTGTTCCCCTCCAGAGCACCTAGCCGATTCAAGTAGAGCTCTGTTAACCAGGTGGTCAGCAAAGTTGTCTGGGTCTTTTCAGAGGACTTTAAGCTGGCCAGTTTCTTGAGCAGAAACTCCATCAATGCCTCCTCCTGCTTGGCTTCAATGAACTTAAGGGCAATCTCTTCAAAGTAGTTCTGGGTCAGTGCATAACACTTGGCACTATCTAGGTACCTCTTGTTTTGGAAGGAGTGTTCTGCCTCTCTTGCCAACACAATATCCAGGCACTCAGGACGGTCTTTGCAGTACTCTTTGGCCAGATCAAACTTGTTAATGTTCATGTACATCTTCCAGACATCTCTCGATTCCCGTTGTACGTGGTAGCGGAATACAACTTTCTCCGTGTAGATCCAGATCTGCCCGACTGTGGGATCTTTGATCATGCGCTTCAACGAGCCAAACTTCTCCAAGAACAGGTCTTGGAAGACAACCTGCCCATTCAGAGTGCACACAGCCTTCACTCTGTCAGGCAGTAGCAGCAGGAAGTGAAACTGGGTGAGCACTATGGAGATTGGCTTGTTAGCCGCCACATCTACATCAGAGGGATACTCCCAGACCCGTTCATCACTCAGAATAGAGTCAGGCCGTCCATAGTCCAATGTACCATACAAGACCCCATTTCCCATCATCCAGGCAAAGGAGCGTGGGGAGGAGCGTAGCTTTGGAGTGTAAAATGCTATTTCGCTGTAGCCAAAGCTGGCTGGGAACTCTCGGAAGCTGGGCAAGTGGTCTGCATGCATGCCAAACACGAAGCCAAAGCCCTGTTGCTCCGCCCCCTCAGGCACTTTGCCAACAAACTGGAAGAGTCTCTTACGAGTAGTGGCAATGATAAAACATTTCCCATCGAGCCCTCGCTCTATTTCCAGACAGCAGACTGGAGTCGGTCCTGCCTCCTCCTCTAAGGTATACACCAGTCGGAAATACTGGTCCAGATTAGTGCTGAAGAGACTTCCCTCGCTGACAGAGATCTCAGCCTCATATATTTGGCCCTGGGCTGTCCCCACCAGGATAGGACCAGTGTTAGTCTCTGAACCCAGAAACTTGTTCCAGCCCACACTTTCAATCAAGTGACCTTTCCAGCGGGAGAGCGTCCGCACCTTCTGAGCACTTCTGTTCAAATACAGGCATTCACTGGTGTTCAGTGCAATCACAAGATGAGATCCTGTAAGGCATATAGCAAGAGATAGATGATTAATGGGTGCAGGGTTAAAGGAACTGCAAACACCACAACCCAGGCAGACCACTACTGTAAAGCAAGACTTCTGGTTGTTCTCAGAGTCACGTTAGACAAAACATGGAAGTCAAGTTCCTAGAGTTCCCCCAAGAATTTGAATTCATAAGAACCTGGGGATTGCAATAATGGATGAGATCAGTGGTCCATTTAGCCTAGTATCACAACTGACAGTGCTTCAAAGGAAGGTGCAAGAAACCCTATATGAACAACTCTGGAATAAATGGCCCATAGAAAGTCCAGGCTGCTAATTGTTGTCATTAGGTTTTATATTTTATAAGTGTTTCATCCCAGCTAGAGTTAACTGTGGATATTATAATTATAATCCTATTTAGAAATCTGCTAAGCTCCTGGCCTCCTAAGGCCAAAGGAGGCAATGGGCTCCAAAAGTTAGATGTACATCGTGTAAGGAGAATTTTCTTTTACCAGTTGTAATAAGCTCACTCAAATCAGCCCACATCTGTCAATAAAGAACTTGGACAGTGGTTCATATACACCAAAATGTAAGGAGTGAGGCACAGTACTCTTCCTCTAACCCTTGGGTATTAAATAGGCAGAGTCCCTGGACAATAATTAGGTAGTCTGAGTTCATTCCCCAGGTGGGCCACGTACTCCTTCCACACACAGAACAGAAACCGGAAATCTTCCTTAATTAAATGCTTGTTTAACACAATTATTGCATTTGTTGTAGATATTAAACAGCATTTTGCAATTTCCCCTACACCATCACCTCACCTGTGTGGTCCAAAAACATCTTGTAGACTCTGGCTTCATCCTTGCGTCCCAACTCTACCTGATTAGGTTCATCTGCCTTGCCAAGATCAATCCTGCATGGAGGAATGACAAAGCAAGTTACCAAGATGCAGGAAGAGCCCATGTAACTGTGGAAACAAAATTATACCTTTCTCTTTTACAAAAAGACCATGAAACTGCATCTAGTTTAGGGACAGGGTTTCCACGCGACCCAAAAACAGGCTGTGAAGGCTTCAGGTCTTAAATAGTACAAGTTACCTGAAAAGGGTGTCTCTGCCAAGGCTCATACAGAGTTGGTTACAGGAGACCACAAGGCTGTTAATTTTCTCTGGAGGAGTGAAATCAATCCTTTGCTTGTTAAATATTGGAGTTTCCTTCTCCAGCCGAGCATTCACATACCCTAGGAAACGTGAAAATACAAATGTAGTTCAGAAAAGAGACAATACTAAATGTAACCTAATACAGGGAGCAGAAACAGGGAGGGCTACAGGAAAGTGAAGTGCTCCATGGTGTGGAATCATGGGGAGTAGCATCTAATCTTTTCCCCAGGTGCATGTTTGGAGATACAGTAAAAGTCTATTTTCCCATTCTGCCACAGTGGAGCAATTTGTCACATGGAACTAACCTGAAAAACAAACACAGCGAACCCTGAAAACTCTGGAAGAAACTGCACATTACAGTTGCATGACAACTTCATAAAAAGCTGATTAAGAGGAGGACAAGAAATTAGACTTGAATAAAGACTGGGAGTGAATGTGTTATTACACAAAGAAACTATTTCCCCATGTTTATTCCGTGCCCCCTTCCCCCGTACTGTTCCTCACATGTTCTTGTCAACTGCTGGAAATGGCCCACCTTGATTATCACTACAAAAGTTTTTTTTCTCTCCTGCTGGTAATAGCTCACCTTACCTGATCACTCTTGTTACAGTGTGTATGGTAACACCCATTGTTTCATGTTCTCTGTGTATATAAGATCTCCCCACTGTATTTTCCACTGCATGCATCTGATGAAGTGAGCTGTAGCTCACAAAAGCTTATGCTCAAATAAATTTGTTAGTCTCTAAGGTGCCACAAGTACTCCTTTTCTTTTTAAGAAAACAAATGGTCAACTACTGGAAAATCAGGTTATTTGTTAAAACACTGAAATGGTGCTGTACAAGGTGCTAACGTAGATGGTATCTATGCTCCAGAGAGTTTACAGTCTAATGAAAGACTCAGAAATCAGAGGTGGCATTAGTTTAAAATGTTTCATTTGGGGAGGATAAAATTAATTTCTCTCTTATTCAGTCTAGCACCCATCACACAAAAGAAAAGGCGGAAATTGAGATTATTCAAAAGATTAAAGATAGCTAGATTTTTCCATAAAATTAATCATTTAATTGCCATAAAACAATTTAAGATCAGTGACTGCAAGCAATACAGCTGGAATTCGCAACTAGATCAGTAGAAAAGTTTCATAATACTTGAATAATGTTTTACATCCACCAAGCTCAAAGCACTTGATAAAGATGAATAAGTACCGTTACTCCAGTTTTACATTTGAGAGAAACTGAACCATGGGGTTCAGTGAATTGACTGAAGTCACACAGCTTGCCGAGACTAGCACTCGAGTCTGGTGAGTACCAGAATCAGTGCCCTAACCGTGAGACCACAACGCTGCCCAACAAAAGCCAAAACTAGGTAGAACCGGATTCGAATTTAATTACAAACTGAAAACTTGAGCCAGTGTGATCCAGTTTCTGGATCTTTTGGCAAACCTGGATTGAATTTCAAGCAAGGCTAGGCCAAATTAAGATTTGGGGTTAAACCTGGCAAATGTGGTCATTTTGTCAGAGCTGCACAATGCATTTTAGGTCTGCTGAAGCCTGAAACTCAAAGTGAAACTCAGGTGTGTGTGAACTGAAACTGGGAGTCAGAGTGTGAGTAGAAACTAATGACTTTCATATTGTTCTAGTCACAATGCTGACCTAAACGAGAACCACCACCACTATTCAACAATTTTGCTTTAATGGCTCCACTTACACGCCAGGGGACCTCCAAGCTGGCTAGCTTGGAAGACACCAAATTTAGATGGTAGCAGATTACTAGACAGCGTGGTCTGTATAGCAGGTAGGAGGAGAAAGTTTTATTATACCAGCAGCGTGGCAACATAGTCTGCTACAGAAACTGGTTCAGAACAGGCTTAGAGTTTTGTTTTGTTTCAGTTCATAAAAGCTTTTCAAGTTTTAAAGCAGGTGCAGTAACCTCAAGAGAAGGCCAAGCACTAAGATGGTGAAGGGAAGAGGGTGAAGGACTAGCCAGGGCAGGGGGATGGGAAATGTATACATTAAGATGGTAAGCTTTTAACACCACATAGCAGGGTGGCAGAATGGCATGACTAGTTTCATTTTTCTGAAGCTGGACAGGGCTCAGCTTTCAAAAGCTTGGAACAACCTAGAAGCACACTGTTTCCATGCCTAAATGGGGCAGCTTCTGAAGGCTGCTCTCCTATGGTGGATGGACACTAGCCAAAATCCATAAAGGAATTCAACTCTGCCATGGAACTGTAAAATAATGTGACATTCACATGGAACAAAACATGAATGATACTCATTAGTAGAATCCAGGGGATATTTGTATGTCAACAAAAAGATTGTATCACAAAGCTCTCTCCATATCAGTCCTGTGATGCAAGTTTTTCCTCTGCCTGAATTTCCCATGCCCTCACAGGACACCATGTAGCCCCTTGACCAAGAATATTGCATTCCTCTAACAGAATGACCAGGCCACCTCAGGCTAGACAACAAGAAAGCACTGGTCATTTCTGGTTTCTTTCCTAGGTTAAATTTACACTGGCCTCCCTCCAAGGATGGAAAACCACTGGCTCCACAGGGATTTCTAGGACAGTTATATCTATTTAGTGCAGTTAGCCTGGGAAAATCTTCACTTGCAAAGGATTTACAAGGCACACAAGGTTACTCCTGGGGGAATTCTGCACCACTGCGCATGTGCAGAATTCATGTTCCTTGCAGATTTATTTTTCCTTCACAGAAAATACATTCTGCGGGAGAGATGCTGCAGTTATGCCTTTCACCCACCGGGGATTGCTGTGGTGCCAGAACAGAGGGCAGCTGCTCACCAGCCATAACATCCCATAGAGAGGACAGCCTGCATTCCTCACAGCGTCCTGCCCACAGAGACAGATGAGAATGTACATGGGGGGGGGGGAGAGGAGACACAGAGAGTGGGGCACATTGGGCTGCTGGAGGGTCACAGACTGGGGTTTAGAAAGGCTAATGGAGGGACAGGGGCTGAATAGGAGTGGGGGTGCAAGGCCACATGGGGACAGGGTGCAGGGACACATGGGAACAGGGGGAAGGAGATGCTGGGACATGTGGACGGGGGTGTATAGGGACGGGGGAAGGAGTGCATGGACACATGGGGACAGGGGCACATGTGCCTGACTGAATGAGAGAGGCTAGGGGTTAACCAAGGTCTGTATGGGGGAGGCTCCCCAACTTTCTAATAATCCCTTCCCCCCCCCAAAAAAAATCTCTGTTCCATACTTCTCCCACCTACATCCAACAACCCTCCAGATTCCTTCCCAGCTCCCAGGCTCCTTCCCAGCAATTACTTCTCTCTCACTCAGCTCCTCCATTACACCAACTCCCCCAAGCCTTTGCACTGCTTCTGAGAGGTGCAGGAAATATGGTTCTGTATTGTAGTTTGAATGAATGATTAATCAAAGTTCTGTATTAATATGCCTAGCGAGGAATATATTTGTCAAAAAAAATCCTGAATCTTTTTCATTGTCTGTATTGTTACAGACATACTTGCTGACAGGTATTTTTAAATAAGTTACCAAAATAATTGAAGCTGGCATGATTATACTGTGTTATTCTGACAAATAAAATATGCAGAATTTTAAAATATTGTGTGCAGAATTTTTATCTTTTTGGAACAGAATGCCCCCAGGAGTAAAAGATAGAACAAGGCTGCTGGAAACCAAGGCCACCAGCCAAACAGCAGACAAAGTTAAACACACAGTGTAAAAGGAGGGTTAGAAGACCGTTTGATTGGCAGGATAGGATTCTGTGGTCAGCCCAGTACTGTAGAGGCAGCAAATGCTCTGCTGCCATGTGAGAGCTCTGTAGCCTGGCAGGGGCCTGGAACAGCAGAGGGAAAGCACAATCAGCCCCTACAGTCTTGTCCCTATGTCATTTTCAGCAACTCTCCCACCGCTGGTCTAGCACCAGTGTAGCCCAGTTACTGGCTAGAAAAGATTAATACTAGTGTAGATAGGCTGTCAACACTTATCACGGCATCATCTAGACCTGCTGCAAGCACAGTCAAATGACATGGAGACAAAAGTGCTGGCACCTGCTCTACCATCGCTATCCCCCGTTACTGCACTGATCCTAGTTCAATAGTGGCAAATTCAAAAAATAGCAAGCTTACAGGTAGCCGAAGTGTGTGCATTGGAAGAGATGGGAAATAACTTCATGCTAATTATGCAACACCCCTTTTGGCTAGCACTTAATTCAGCCTTTGCCTACACATAGTTTGACAATCCATTTAACTAAGTCAGCAGCACCCCCCTGCTGTGGACACTTATTTCAGGTTGAGTGTCCTATTTTGGCTTTGATTAAGTCAGCGAGGAACTGATATAAGGAAAATTGAAAAAGGACACTGTTATCCCGAAATAAGAGGGTCCATAACTAGTGGTCATATTGATTCAGTTAATCGGTGCTCAAATTGCATGTAGACCACGTAGGGTTGCCAATTTTCAAAAGTGGAGTTTCACTCTGATGGGAAAGTGATACAGACACCCATTACTGAAAACAAAAGAACATGGAATGGAGGATGATCAAAGGCACAAGAATCAAGCCATTAAAATGAGATCTCTAAGTCACATTCACTTAGAGTCAAGGTAACTTTTTTCTGGCTAATTGCCCACTCAGGAAAAAATAAGGTTGTCTCAGTCAGAGGACCAATGAAAATGTAACTCAGTAAAGAAAGGGGCAGTTTAGCTTTTGGATGGAAGGTTTTACTGATTTAAAAGCAGTTTTATTTAAAATTATGTATTTTAGATTCCTTGAGAGACTACCTGTAACAATGCAGTCAGTTGTATGTGCACTTCAGTCATTAATTTGAGATTTTTAATTACTGATCTTCACCAGAAGGGGGGAGAGGTACTTTTTTAGCCTCTGTTCCTCTACACAAAAAGCTTGGGTAGGATTCAATTGGTTTTATTCCATCATATATCGTTTTTCCTGACTTGGAACAGAAGAACTAGCTTTGGTTTGGAGTCTCAGTCCCATACCTCTGCATTCCTCTCAAATGTGCATAAAAACACCTTTTCAAATGTGCTTTATCTATCGTTTAGGATTCTAAACGTTACACCTTCAGATTTCTGGATGAGCCTTCTTTCTTTCTACCTCCCAGAGGCTGAAAGATCTGGAGAAAGACAATGAAATAAGATCACTATTAACTCCAGCCAGGTCTTTTGGGACTTGAGGAACCTGCAGTTTGCATTTCAGCCATCCCCAGTCTTTGCTCTTTTGCGATCTAAATCTTTCTGAAATAGCATCAGTAAAAGCACAGCACTTCGGCACGCACTTCAACCAGCTTAACACCACACAAAATTTCACGTACAATGTTATGGTTTGCTCTTATGTGAATGTGCTCTATGTAAAGCTATTACTTTTATCTATTCCCCAAACTTTAGATCAGTCTGCAACCGCTGCCAACCAATTTACTTTCAAGGTATGTTCAAAGCCACAACTGGAGCCCTGAAGGGACACCCGCAGATTCTAAAATGGTGATGAACATGGCTGCCTCTCAACCCAAATACGGTTCAGCTGTCCCCTTTGCTGACACCCATTTGTCAGCAACAGGTAAAATTTTTAGTGAAGACAGAGTCTATAATAACTGAAAAACTACTTAAGAGATGATAATGCAGGAGTCAAGAGTGAAAGCAGAGCAGAAGGAAAGGAATTGTTAGCCAAACTCTTAAAACCATTCTGCTTCTGTTAACTTCCATTTAGCACCAAAATAATTAACCGGGGGGCGGGGGGGACCTCTGTTTGAGATTCAGAACCCTGACTTCAATTAAACTTAACCAAATAAAGGTAACAAGCCATATTTTAAGAAATATGAACTTCAGTGTATGGACTATATTTAATTTGTTCTCTCTCTGTTTATCCCTTTTATTTTATACCCAGCCTGGTATAATCAAACTTTTCCCACAGATATACACCACACAACCCTGCTTATCTAGCAGTTCCAGACGATACTTAAAACCTTTTGATAGGTTAGGATTCAACTAAAGTGGGGAGCCAGTCATAGATACTTTCAGAAGCGTATGCCTATAGATTTTTAACTCAGCAAAGAGATGCCAACTTTGCTGAGTGGCCAGCACTGAAGTGGCAATGCTAGATAGAACATAGTCCTTTTAAAGCTAACTGGGTCTCATATCTAATTCAACCTTATATGGTGGCAGTAGGAGAAACCACATGTGAAACTCAAGACTCACTAGTTTGATTAATAGGGGAATGTACTACCTAATTGCCCCTCTAGCAAGTTACTCCTCATTCATATTGCATAGCTGGTATAACCCGTCACATAATTATTGTATATTTATATTACATTACACAGGTGGACCTAATGTAGGTGCCAGCATTTCACAAATTGTGGCATAAAGTTTCAGACCAACACAGATTGCTTTCATGCCACACTTCTGTAGTGGTAACCATACTAATATGAAATCAGCCCATGAGAATTACACAGCCATTATACATGTGATGGAACCTATGTTCTCTGCATCCAGTATATTGGTAAGTTTCCCTGGGCTGGGCAACTAACACCATGTCACTAAGCATCACACATACGAAATGTTTAATAGTTTCTATAGTTACTCAAGTTCCTCAAAAAGGAAAGGAGCAAAGAAAGACTAAGAAACTGATTAAAAAACAAAAACAAGTAGTAAGTGGCATAGACAGGAGGCCTCCTGTGAGACATTACTGCCACAAATTTGGGTTGACAAGTGGAGAAGCAGTGGTTAGAGCTCACCGCAAGCTCATAACTTTAAAACCATTTCACATTCTCTCTTTTGCCTTGTATACAAGTGCATTCATATAACAGTGATATTTTAGGATTAAGTCATTTTCCACCCCACATAATAATTTCACTCTAAATAGAGGTTCACTACAGTCAAAATTGCAATGAAGCAATTTGGGACTGGCATCCTTCTTCCTCAAACAGTTTCACTCAATAACCAAGTTCAAGCTACGCTCTAAACATAGAGCCCTACCAAATTATGGCCATGAAAAACGCTTCATGGACAGTGAAATCTGATTTCCTATGTGCTTTTACCCTACATTATACAGATTTCATGGGGGCGACCTGTGTTTGTCAAATTGGGGGTCCTGACCCAAAAGGAGTTGCAGGGGAGTCATGCGGTTATTTTAGGAGGGTCACAGTATCATCACCTTTACTTCTGCACTGCGTTCAGAGCTGGACGGCTGGAGAGCGGTGGCTTTTGGCCAGGCACCCAGCTCTGAAGGGGGTGCCCTACAAGTACCAGCACAGGGTGGCAATACGATACCATGGCATCCTTACTTCTGCACTGCTGCTGGTGGTGGCTGTGCCTTCAGAGCTGGGCTCCCGGCCAGCAGCCATTCCTCTCCGGCCACCCAGCTCTGAAGGCAGCGCCGCCATCAGCAGCAGCGCAGAAGTAAGGGTAGCAGTACCACAACACCCCACACACACACACACAACTCCTTTTTAGGTCAGGACCTCTACAATTACAACACCGTGAAATTTCAGATTTATTTATCTGAAATCATGACATTCACAATTTTTAAAATCTTATGACTTTGAAATTGATCAAAATGGACTGTGAATTTGGTAGAGCCCTATTTATACACAATGGAGAATCTGAGAAGAACTGATGTACTGTAACATTGTGTTCACAGGTTAAGTGCACAGATTGCATTTGTGATTACAACAATACTGTAAAAAGAAAAGGAGTACTTGTGGCACCTTAGAGACTAACCAATTTATTTGAGCATAAGCTTCCGTGAGCTACAGGATGCGATGAAGTGAGCTGTAGCTCACGAAAGCTTATGCTCAAATAAATTCCTTAGTCTCTAAGGTGCCACAAATACTCCTTTTCTTTTTGCGAATACAGACTAACATGGCTGTTACTCTGAAACCTGTCAAAAATACTGTACACGTTTTCTCATTTTCTGTACTTCAGCTATTAGCAAGGCTTCCATTTGCTAAACCTAATGTAAAATTCATTTCCTTGCAACTGCCTCAACATGAAGTAGTAATGGCAAATATCCAATGTGGACCCAGAGATAAAGCAGAATCACATGACAGAGTGCCCTCTCTATGCTATAGCACCTATCTTTGGTACCTATAGTGATTAATTAAGGCCCTAATTGTCCTCACATAGAGAAAACCAGGAAAGATGGGAACACTGAGAATTCATTCAAAGTACTGCATGATGACATTAATAATTTGCTCTTCTATAGTGTCACCACAGAATCTGAAAACGCATTACAAACTAAACTGCACAACTATCCATGAGATATTATGACACCCATTTAACAAAAGGGAAAGGGAGGCAAGGAGGGGTTATTTGACCTCAGTGATACAGGAAGCCACTGGCAGACTTGGGAACAGAACCGAAGTCTGACTCTGCAACCCTATTTAGCCAGTAAGATCACGGTGCCTCCCAAGGCCAGCCAGACTCGAGTCAACAGGGCAGGATCCTGCAGGCTTGCAGCGCTCCTGCTCAAATCAGACTAGGGGGGAGGGCGGGGCATCGTGGCCCCAGGGCAGTTCTCATGCTGTGACCTGCACAGATGACCGCGTAGCCCCAGCCCCCGCTTACCGGAGTGCGGGATGCCCACGCTGGCGCGGCTCTGCTGCAGGGAGGCGGAGCGGGACAGCGAATCTTCGTACTCGTCCAGGATGGAGGCCATGGCCGCCCCCTCACCAGCCAGTCCCCCGCCACCCACTCAGCTCCCTGCCCTCAACTCATCCCGACGCAGCCCCCTCGCTGCAGCCCCCTGCACCCTCCGACAGCTCCCCTCCCGCAGAACGCCCCGCCCCGCCCCCCGACAGACCGGGGAGCAACTCCGCTCCTGCAGCACCGACCCCGCCCCTCCTGTCTCGCGCGGCGAGCCCGGCCGCGCCCGACCCCCCTCCGGCCCAGGTCACTCCGGCCCGGCTACTTCCGCAGACGCTCAGCTGAGCGGCCCCACGTGACCTGACGGCTTGCGGGCCGCCGCGCTTCCGGTTTCCGGGCGGTAGCGCGGCTGCGCGGTGTGTCCCTCACGTGCCCTGAGCGGGAGGTCGCGCGCCTGTCGCTGGCCTAGTGCCGCCCCGCCTCCCCTCCCCCCCCTTCACCACACGGCTGCCTATTGTGTCACCCAATAGGCGCGGGGCTGTCCTGACGCCGCTCCCCTGGTTCGCTCCAGCCCTTCTCCCAGTGATCGCACTAGTCACAGGCAGCGCCGGCCTAGGGAGCCCCCCACGGGCAGGCTTGCAGGGGCTGCACGTAAGCCCCGATGCTGCGAGCACTACACGCTGCTCAGCCAATCACCGGTACCGCCCTGCTCATCTTGGATGTACACCCGTCCCCACGCCAGCCGGGCCAACTCTGCCTGGGGGGAGCGTCTCATCCCAGTGTTACCTACGGGGGAACAGGCCGGGCGTGTGGCCTAAAGACAGAGCAATCCCACATCAGGAGTTCTCCGGCCGGTGTTTCTCAGTGGGTGGGCGGTGGCCCTGAGGCAGGGGGCTCATATGAGGCAGTCTAGGGTTGTGTGAACTTGAACACTGAATAAAAACCTAAAGCAAAGAAACTCTTCGGCTTTGTCCCCCATTCCCAGTGCGCTTCATGGTCAAGTGTTCTCTGTCAACCCCGAGAAATATACACAGAAATTAATTGTATTGGCTTATAATCAATACATTTTTTACTCTTACTGTATAGTAAAAGTAAAAGGGTCACGAACTTTTCTTTCAAATATGGCGTTGCCAACTTGAAAAGGTTGAAAAACATTGATCTGTCCAATGCCACCTTAGCCAATAAGAAAAGGCTTTTTAATGTAAAGGGCTCTGTTCGGATGAGGCAAGGCAGCTGAGGTAATATCTCTATTGGACCAATTTCTGTTGGTGAAAGAGACATGCTTTCCAGCTTACACAGACCTCTTCTGGTTAACATCAGAACATAAGAATGGCCATACTGGGTCAGACCAAAGGTCTGTCCAGCCCAGTATCCTGTCTACCGACAGTGGCCAATGCCAGGTGCCCCAGAGGGAGTGAACCTAACAGGTAATGATCAAGTGCCATCCATCTCCTGCCATCCATCTCCACCCTCTGACAAACAGAGGCTAGGGACACCATTCCTTACCCATCCTGGCTAATAGCCTTTAGTGGACTTAACCTCCATGACTTTATCCAGTTCTCTTTTAAACCCTGTTTTAGTCCTAGTCTTCACAACCTCCTCAGGCAAGGAGTTCCACAGGTTGACTGTGTGCTGAGTGAAGAAGAACTTCCTTTTGTTTTAAACCTGCTACCCATTAATTTCATTTGGTGACCCCTAGTTCTTATATTATGGGAACAAGTAAATAACTTTTCCTTATTCACTTTCTCCACACCACTCATGATTTTATGTACCTCTATCATATCCCCCCTTAGTCTCCTCTTTTCCAAGCTGAAAAGTCCTAGCCTCTTTAATCTCTCCTCATGTGGGACCCGTTCCAACCCCCTAATGATTTTAGTTGCCCTTTTCTGAACCTTTTCTAATGCCATTCTGTTCTGATAGTAAACTGCAGTCCAACTGGATTAATACAACCCATTATTTTAGATGTTTTCCTCCCTTCTGGACCCTTCACTTAATTTTAGCATTAAAAGCTGAGTTTAAAAATACCAACCATCTTCTACAATATGTTATGATAGTAACTTAGAGATGGGCCCAAACTTGAACCTCATAGCAAACCCATCAGGTTTCATCATTGTGGGGTGTTTGGATTTCAGTGCCTAGATCCAAATCCCTATTTATGGTGTTTTGGTTCTTGATCAGACCCAAACTGGAAGAGGCCTATTTTCTTATTTTGGTTTGGCTGACAACAGCTGAATTTGTGAGATTATGGTCATTTTGGGCTGAAATCTCATGAGATCTGTTTGTCTGATTTCAGTGCTGTTAAATTGGAAGCCAGACTTTAGCATGTATTTGAAATGAAACTTCAGCCTAAACCTAATCCAGATTCTGAACTAAACATCTGTTTACCCATCTGTTATTCCACCTCCAATGCTCATTCAATTTACTTACAAACGTTTTAAATAATTATATTATAGTGCTAAATTCATGAACTCAAGGTTTACAGACAGGAGTTGTTTTTAAGTGGGTAAAAACATGCAATGCATTTTTCAGTTCTTTTAGGTGTCTAGGAGTTCATGGACAATAAGGTGACTCATTTTTGCAGGGCTTTGCCAAAAAACAAAAGAAAAGAAAAGAAAAACAGAAACATAAGCTTTCTCCAGCAGGTGGCAACATGCACCTAAACAATGAGACATCTTCACAGGCAGGTTTCAGAGTGGCAGCCCTGTTAGTCTGTGTCCGCAAAAAGAAAAGGAGGACTTGTGGCACCTTAGAGACTAACAAATGTATTTGAGCATAAGCTTTCATGAGTTACAGCTCACTTCATCGGATGCATTCACAAGACCATACTCATTTCTGGTGCAAGTTTCATAAGGGATAAATTTGACCTACAATCTTTGACTTGAAAAAAAAAAAGAGACTAGGACTAATATCTATGCTTATTTTGGAGGGGCCTTTAAGAAAGCATTTTGGGAGATAACTTTATTTGTATTTCATTCTCATTTATTCTGATTTAATATTAAAATTAATGCAGGATTTTTATTTTATTTATTTATTAATTGCCTCTGTATGAAGCTAGGATGACAGCCAAGCAACATCTGTGCATTTTTCTATGTCATCGCTTTTAATTCCAGGAAAGAATAGAGAGGGTCATTGATCCTGGGACTGGGAGAACTATGTGCTAGTATTCAGAGGAACAGCCGTGTTAGTCTGTATTCGCAAAAAGAAAATTGGTTAGTCTCTAAGGTGCCACAAGTACTCCTTTTCTTTATGTGCTAGTACTTTCTCTGTATGCTCCATGACTGTGTTCTGTGAAAGTCTGTTAAAAATCAGACATCCCCATTAGTCCAAGTACTAAATGTAATACACAGGGGCTTTAAATGTTTTTATTGCTAGTGAGTTCAAAAAATAAGCAATTCCTATTAATTGATCAAGGAAAACATAAGTACAAGCAAATATTAGGTTTGTCTTCCTTCTTAATTTAAGAATATAGAGAACCAGATAATTTATTTGTGGCTTTCTGGCTCTTTGTAGGTTGCCAGTGGGGCCCTATCTGTCACAAAATTTGGGGACCTCAATTTAAATCCACTTGTGGTATACAGTTTGTACACAAAGAGGATCTGATTCACCCTTGATTTGCACCTTATATAATTGTTCATGCCTGTGCAAAGTGGGTATAAAATGCTGGCAAAAAAGAACGGTTGCATTTTACACCCACTTTGCAATCACTATTTGTAGATGTAAGTGACTATACAAGGCACATGGCAATGGAGGATCAAACCCAGGATATTCTCTTCACCTTTTTGTCTATGGAAATGGTAAGACATCTTTCCAGAGTCCAGGGGGATGTGCAATGAGGTGCCTGACATGATGCATGATGAATCAGCATTCGCTGTCTCTCTCGTTAATATAGTGATTATGAAGGTGACTGGTGAGGAAGATGTGTGTGTGTCTCAGCTCCTCTACCAGGTCTCAGTTTCACCAGGTCTCATTTACCCTAACCTCTGTCTCACCACCTCTGCATCTCTCCTAGCCTGCATCTCCAGCTGTTCTGCCCTAGTGTCAGATAGCTTCCTCTTTGCTTTCATCATCTTTATGTTCCTCATTTTCCCTGTACCAGAATATAACACCTGTAGTTGCAACTTTATACTTCCTCAGAGAGTTGCACATATGTGACCACAGTGCACCTCGTGTGTACTTGCAGTTACAACTAATCTGATTGAATGTGACTAGACAAAAGTGAATGTAAAGTTTACTCAGTAGCCAATAACACTTGCTGCCAGTGGTTTTTATGAATTTCTCTCTCACTCCAGAAGGGAGAAACCCAGGTATTTTTAAATCTAGGCTCCACTTCATAGATATATGTGGGCTCTTTCTAGTGCAGTTTGAATAGTTCAATCAATTTACAAAAAGCTAAGATGTGAGAGTGAACAGGAGTATTTGTAGGTATGTCTCCATGTCATTGCAGCTGGGACTGGGAACATGTCTGCCAGCCTGGATAGATAGATGTGCATTAGCCAAGAGTCTCCCGGAATCAGTCTCAATCTCCCGGAGGCTACTGAAAACAATCTGGAAGATTTTAATAGGCCACTAAAAGTCCAGTGGCACAGCAGGACTGAGGCAGACTCTCTACCTGCCCTGGCTCCGCGCAGCTCCCAGAAGTGACTAGCACGTCCCTCTGGCTCCTAGGCAAAGGGGCAGCCAAGAGGTCTCTGCACACAGCCCTTACCCCAAGCGCCTACTCCGCAGCTCCCATTGGCTGGGAGTCACAGCCAATGGGACTTGCGGGGGTGGCGCCTGTAGGCAGGGGCAGGGCACAGAGCTGCCTGGCCACCCCTGAGCCTAGGAGCAGACATGGTGGTCGCTTCTGGGAGTTGCCCAAGGTAAGCACTGCCCGGCCGGAGCCTGCACCCCTCACTTCCTCCTGTACCCCAACCTCCTGCCCCACCCCAGAGCCCCCTCCTGCACTCCAAACCCCTTGGCTCCAGCCCAGAGCCTGCACCCCCTCCTGCACCCTAACTCCCTACCCTAGGCTCAGCCCAGAGCCCCTTCCCACACTCTGAACCCCTTGGCCTCACTCCCCAGCCCAGAGGCCATACCCAGAGGCAGGGCAGGGGCGTAGCCTTGGGGAATGGGGCGGGGCAAGGGTGTTTGGGCAATCAGATACTTGGCAACCCTAATTAGCTCTGCTCAAGACAGTGTTAAAAATTGCAGTGTGCCTGTTGCACCTGTTGCACGTGGCCCGCCAAAGTAAGCCCCCTGGCAGGCTGGGCTAGTTTGTTTACTTGCCGCATCCGCAGGTTCGGCTGATCATGGCTCCCACTGACCGCAGTTCGCCGTTCCAGGCCAATGGGGGCTGTGAGAAGCCACGGCCAGCACATCCCTCAGCCCATGCCGCTTCCTGCAGCCCCCATTGGTCTGGAACGGTGAACTGTGGCCAGTGGGAGCCACGATCGGCCAAACCTGCAGACACAGCAGGTAAACAAACCAGGGGCTTACCCTGGCGGGCCGCGTGCCGAAGGTTGCCAATCCCTGGGCTAGCCACATGAGTGCAAGCCCACCTAATTTCTTGTGTCGGTACACTGCTATTTTCAGCATGCTAGCTGGAGCAGAGCTAGTGCATGTTTGTCTTCCCCAGGCTAGGAAGCACACTTCCAGCTGCCATATAGACATATCCTAAGGGGTCAACACATATAGGACCTTGGCATGACAGATTCCCAATATTGTAAAGATGCCCCTTTGTCCTTAGGCTTAGATTTTGTCCTTAGATAGACTGCTCCACCTGTAAAGCTGGCTACAATAATTAGAATCTGAGGCTAAAACCAGTGTTTTTCTCCTAATTAATCATCTGTTTTTGTTAATAATAAGATTATATGCCTCTATATATCAGTTTGCTTGGCACCCTTCAGAACTATTCACTACTCAAATGTGTAAGTCGAAAGTTCATTGTAAACCTGTACTTAGTTTAATGCAACAATTTTGTGTTAATCTGAAGCTGCAGTTAGTCTTCCAGCCCAGGCTAGTAATGACTGATGCTGTTACTATATGAAGTCTGTGTAGTCTGTATGAAATGTGTTTGGTCATCTCAGTTAAGTTCCTAATGGGCAGGTGTCTGCATCACAAAAAAAAACATTGCAGTTGGTACTAATAAGCATTCTCAGGAGAGAGGCCAGGAATAGCCCTGTGACCAAGTCACTCCCAACCCCTCACCTCCCCCCCCCCCCAACCCAGAGAGATTATCTTTGCAGGCTAGGAATGAAGCATGTTAAAGAGACAGGTTTCAGAGTAGCAGCCATGTTAGTCTGTATCTGCAAAAAGAACAGGAGTACTTGTGGCACCTTAGAGACTAACAAATTTGTTAGTCTCTAAGGTGCCACAAGTACTCCCGCTCTTTTTGTTAAAGAGACAGCTTGCACTGCAGCTGCCATGGCATACCTGTTGCATTGAAAGAGCACATACGTCTCCATGGCTATCAACCCAGTATCTCTTGTGAACTGGGATGTACTTTCATTACCAAAACAAACTCTTAATTGAGGACAGGTGAGTGCTATTGTATGAATCCTCTCTCCATCCGGGCAGAGCTGTACCTATATGTTCAGAGCCAGATAAGACATGAGGAAGAAACCTGTGGGAGCTGCCCAGTTTCTTTCCCACAAATTAATTGCTTGGTAAAGGTAGTTTAAAAATAATTTAAACAGGAGAATCAGGGCATCTCACCCCATGGAGGTGAGTGCCTCATCAGTCGACTGTTGTCAGAAATCTGTCTACAAAGAAGGGAAGTGTTGACCCACAGAGAAATATAAGATTTTAGGAGAGGGGATTTTCTGTACTCCCAGTGAGACAATTCATCTTATAGGAGACCCACCCATGGATAAACAACAAATGGGAAACAAAGTCTGCCAGGTCCTTTTCATCTCCTCCTTCTGCTGCTGTTGTCACTTTTGCTAACTGTGGGAAATTCACACTCCCTCTGATTTGCATTCAACTTCTTCCTCTTTCTGGGAAGCTTCAGAGTAACAGCCATGTTAGTCTGTATTCGCAAAAAGAAAAGGAGTACTTGTGGTACCTCTAAGGCGCCACAAGTACTCCTTTTCTTTTTTCTGGGAAGCAGCACCAAATCTTTCAGAGCACAACAGCTCCCATAGTGTTATCTCATATTTCAAATGTATGCTAAGAAACCACTGCAGGGACTCTGAGCACATGAAACAATTTGTTGCATTGCCTTTCCTTGCTATGGCTTGGTGCATGTACACAGCAGTACCGTTTCTCAAAGCAGCAATAGGAGGAAACACAAACAGCACACCTTACAGTATTGACTGTACCGATGCATTCTGGGGCTCCTGAAGTAGCTGACCCATAGCCTGTGTTTGGACAAACCTTCTCTTAAAATCTCCCATCAGCACAACAAATACAGGGACTATAATGTAGATCAACCACTGCCATTTTAATCACCATATCATCTAACCCGGCTCAGAGCAGGTCTAGGCAACACAGTGATTAAAACACTGGCAGCAACTTAACTATACTAGCTATCATTGCAATGAACAGAGTTGTGCTGGTGAGAATGCAATGGTGGGAGATTTTAAGAAAAATGTGAGGGTAGAGATGGGCACACTGCCCAATGTTGCTCCTGGGAGCAAAGGCTTTTGGGTACTTTCCAAACCTGGCAATGCCTATGGATTTTTCCATCACTGTAGTAAATCCATCCCTTCAAGCAGTGGTAGTTAAGTTGACAGAAGAATTCTTCTGTTCCCCTAGCTGCGTATACAGTGAGAGTTAAGTCAACCTAACTACACTGCATCGGCCTGGGGTGAAATTTTTTGTAGACAAGAATGATGTCACTTGGTTGATTTAAGTTGTAGGTGGGCCAGGTCTTAGCTGGTAGCACTCAGACTTCGAGCCTAGCAGGCTGTGGATTCAACTCCCATATCAGGACTTAACCCCATATCCAAGGTTGATGGTGCAATCTTTGCCCGCATTGGCCTTTTCCCCTCAAAATTTCCCACCATTCTATAATTTGTTCCTCTCTACTGTGTTATAACAGTGGAAGTGCTACTTTTGCCGCTGAGTCTCCTCCCCTCTCTCTGTTTGTTTAGTTGTCTTTTTTTAGATTGGGAGCTCTTCAAAGCAGGGATTGTGTCTTCTTCTCTATTTATAAAGTGCTTAGCACATTGTGAGCACCACTGGAAAGGAATAAAAAATGCACAAATGGGAGACCAGATTGGAAAGCCCCATGCACATCCAGAGAGCTATGAAAATGTTTCCCTGCTTTTTCCAGAACGTAGCAACGGTTTCACCTGTGTTATACAAGCTGGACTCAGTTGGTTCCAAGCACAGAAAGTTACCCAATAAGACATGTGTCATGCTCTCTGTCTTTCATTTGTTTTCTGTTGCCATGCAATATTGTCCAAGGTTGCAGCTCCTGTACATCTGTGGGAATCTTTTTCAACAATCACAGACTCTCCCTGCTGGGGCCACTGCCCACTGGCATTGGGCTTCGAAGTGCATTATCACTGTTTCTTCTGAAGAAAAAATAGTTTTGAGGGATGAGCAGGGACCTTCTTTTTGTTCTGTTTGTGCAGCACCTAGCTCAATGGGATCCTGGTCCACAACTGGGACTCCTCGGAGCTACAGTAATGCACATAATTAATAATAAGCACCAATAATAATAATAATAATAATGATGATTAGGGAATTGATAATGCATAACAGAGCCTTTCACCTGGAGGATGATGGCTGGAATCCAGCTCAGATTGGTAGTGACTGAAAGTCTGTGCCATTTGATGGCTTTTCAGCGGCCTTTGTCAGGCCAGGTCTATACTATAAACTTATGTCGATAGAACTACGTCACTCAGGGGGATGACGCACTTATACCGACCTAACCCACCTTGTAGACAGCACAATGTCAATGGGAGAGTTTCTCCCGTTGACGTAGTTACCGCCTCTCATGGAGGTGGATTAACTACACCAACGGGAGAAGCTCTCTCGTTGGCATAGGAGCGTCTTCACTAAAGACGCAGTGGTGCAGCTGCGCCTCTGCAGCGCTGTACGTGTAGACAAGCCCTAATATGCATTTGTTGGTCTCCATTTATTTCCCAATGAACAGGTGTCCACATCACAAAGCCCCACTGCATTTTGTACTAATAGGCATCCTTGTTTGAGCAGAAGGAAAGATTCTGGGGCTATAGGCTGAAATCCCCTCTCATTCTCCTTCAGAACAGGGTAAAGGCACCTGGGGAAGGCAATGTGAAAAACTTGCATTGCCACTGCTTTTGCTGTACCTGTTCTGAGCGTAGAGGACTTCACCCTGCAGGGCTGTCGGGCCACCACCTTTCACCAACACTAAAGTCACTGAAACTGTAAGTGAAAGAGAAGAAAATGTAGAGAGCAAGCAGAGAGGCTGGTGGATTCAGACGCCCATGAAGCAGAGTCAGGTTACAAGGACAGGACAGGAGGTTGGACTATGCAAATCAGGCTTTTTTTAAACCACTACAGGTGTAGAACTAAGTTAAGCAATAGTAGCTTAGTGAGAGGGAGAGAAGGTGGGACCCACAGGCCAGTGCACAGAGCTCACTGCAGCCGCTGCCTTGCCAGCTCCAAGACACTCCAAGGGATGTAGTTCCAGAGGCAAAGAAGCTTCCACCTAGGCTATAGTGGCTGAGCCACACTCATTTCCTGTCTTGCTTTACCCACTGACAGTTTCCTGAGGCTGCCGGGGGCTTTTTTAGGTTTTTGCTGGCTTTGCTTTTGTTTTAAACAGAGTTTTGCAGCTTGCCCCTCACATTCACCAAACATTTTTAGAAGGGGGAGCAGAGCTGCTCCCCTTTTTCCTGTTCAAGACATGCCCCCCCAGGAGCTGCTGGATTATTCACCTGCCCTGCGAAGAAACAGCACCCCAAGGGGCAGTGGCCCACAGCTGGGCATCAAATGTGTCCTAGTAGGTGACGGGGCTGTGGGCAAGACCAGCCTGATCATTAGCTACACAACAAATGGATACCCTGATGAGTACCAACCCACTGCCCTGGACACATTCTCAGGTAAGGGGGAATGGAATTTAAGTGCCTGTTGGGGAATCCTGCCTGACACCAGCATGCTATTGCCTTCTGGGGTTGACTTTCTTCCTTTTTTTCACTGTTACAATGGCCTTGTCAACACTAGGGTTTTTCAGACACATCTTTCCAAAGGGTGCAGTTCTACCACTCCAGTGGTAGCAACGGTGAGAGTCCTAGTATAGAGGGGCTACCAGCTACCATCAACATTTTAAGCACCACGTCATCTATCCCTGTTGGAAACCAATAAAGTCAAAGGGGGGAGGGATAGCTCAGTGGTTTGAGCATTGGCCTGCTAAATCCAGGGTTGTGAGTTCAATCCTTGAGGGGGCCATTTAGGGATCTAGGGCAAAAACTGGGGATTGGTCCTGCTTTGAGCAGGGGGTTAGGCTAGATGACCTTCTGAGGTCCCTTCCAACCCTGATAGTCTATGATTCTATGAACGTAGTGCTTAAAACCTCAGCAGCAGCCATCAGTTCCCACAGTTAACCATTGCAGGAGCTGAACCCAAACAGACTTTTTTTTTTAAAGCTTCCCTGGTGTAGACAAGGCTTGAGCATAAGCTTTGCACAGGAGGCTGTAAAGGGAAACCAGTTTTGCCTCTCACACGCAATGAGGGAGGCAACTCTCGTTCTTGGCTTGAGCCTGTGCAAAACTGTAGAAAGGAAGTTTATTCTGCTTGAGTCTGTTCCTTCAGGCCTGAAACATTGCCAAGAGACTTATCTAGGGGTTCATTGCCTTGCCTGCATCTCTCCTTATGAACAAGAGGTGGGAGGTAGAGCTGTATGGAACTCTCAGAGGGGTTATTATTGATGAATGTATTACATATTACCCATAACTGTGCTCAACTCTGGGTGAAATCCTGACCCCTCTGAAGTCAGTGGCAAAACTCCCATTGACTTCAGTAGGGTCAGGATTTCATCCTTGATCTTTCTATCGTAAGGTTTTATACTGACTCTCATCACTGTAGTATCTGAGGGCTTCATGGACATATAATTAGACAAGACTGTGCCCCAAAGATTGTAACCCTGGTCAGGATAGAGATCCAGGGAAAGGGACAGCTGTGTGGTGCTCACAGGGTATGACTACACAGCCCACAGCAGAGAGTCTCAGTGTGTTAAAATCAGCTGCCCCAGCTGGGTAGATGTCGCAACAGGGCTCTGAAGCCTACAGAGTGGGGGTGGGATTCAGAATCTTTCTAGGACGAATGTCTACACAGCTGTTTTTAGCATGGTAGCATGAAACCTGCAAACCTGAGTCTGTACACTTGATCTCTGAGACTTGCTGTGTAGATCAGTGGCTCTCAACCTTTCTAGACTACAGTACCCCTTTCAGGAGTCTCATTTGTCTGGCATACCCCAAGTTTCACCTGACTTAAAAACTACTTGCTTACAAAATCAGACATAAAAATACAAAAGTGTCACAGCATACTATTACTGAAAAATTGCTCACTTTCTACCATATAATTATAAATCAACTGGAATATAAATATTGTACTTACATTTCAGTGTATAGTATATAGAGTAGTATAAACAAATCATCTATGTGAAATTTTAGTTTGTACTGACTTCGCTAGTGCTTTTTATGTAGCTTGTTGTAAAACTAGGCAAATATCTAGATGAGCTAATGTACCGCCCTGGAAGACCTCTGTGTATCCCCACTGTGTACACCACTGGTGTAGATATACTTTCACTGGTGTTCTTATGTCACTGGTTAGGATTGGGATGCAGGGAGACAGGTGACCGTATGGGTTCCTAAGGGGTTTACTGCTCTGGTTATGTACCTATTTAAGATTAAAATACTGGGGGAAAGACAGCTGTGTGAAAACGCTTGGAAATTCATGGCCCGGTTCTGTTCCTGTTGTGATGACAGAGATAGGGAGAGGGAGACATCTGTGTGTAAAGCTTTGGAATTTTATTGCTCTGGTTGTATAGCCGGTTAGGGCAGAGATACAGGGCAAGAGACAGCTGTGTGGAAGTCAGTCTCCTCTGATTTCTTGCCCTTGCTCTGGGGAAAGGGAGACTGGAACCTGGGGTTTACCCCCAATGAAAAAACGGCATAATTAAAGAGCACATAAGTAAACACTGTCTGCTAAAAGTTTGCTTTGCATATTAAAAGATATGGGTGTTTGCTGTCTGGAGATAGCTCTGCTGATCCCTTCATGGCTCCTGAAGGGACAGGAGAGTAAATAACATTCTGGTGATACGTTAACACCCCACTAACTCTTGCCTTCTCCTGGACTTTGAGCAGTCACTTTAACTAATGGTAAAAGAAAAGGAGTACTAGTGGCACCTTAGAGACTAACCAATTTATTTGAGCATAAGCTTTCGTGAGCTACAGCTCACTTCATCGGATGCATTCGATGAAGCGAGCTGTAGCTCACGAAAGCTTATGCTCAAATAAATTGGTTAGTCTCTAAGGTGCCACTAGTATTCCTTTTCTTTTTGTGAATACAGACTAACACAGCTGCTACTCTGAAACCTTTAACTTATGCTGTAGCTTCACACATTCAGCTCTCCAGCTACAAGCCCAGCCTGTGTCTGTGTTATGGGGTTAAGAAAGTTTCCTTCCTTTTCTAATAGGTCTTGGGTAACATTTTCAAAAGTGCCTAAATCCCATTTTCAAACGGGACTATGGCATTAAGGAGCCTAACTCCCAGTGACTCTGAATAAGGCTTAGGCTCCTGAGTAACTAGTTCGCTTTTGATATTGGGGCTCCTAAGTCACTTTGGCCTGGGGTACATTCAAAGGTAGGTCAACATAGCTACATTGGTGAGAGTGTGCAAAAATCCACACCTCGGACTGATGTAGCTATGCCAACCCAACCCCCACTGTAGACGGAAGAACGCTTCCTTGGATAAAGCTGCCATTGTTTGGGGAGGTGGTGTTGCTACACCAGTGTAAAACCCTCTTCCACTGTAGGCTGTGTCTATACTATGGGGCTATGCCAGTATAGTCTCCCTCATGTAGACATACCCTTAGGCACTTTGGAAAATCTTACCCCTTTGTCTATATTGCTTGCTTTTACATCAGTGGTGCAAGCCTTAGTGGAGACAGGGCTCAGACATGTTTAATGGTAACCTGCAAAAGATTTCTTTTTTAAAATTGGGCTTGTGCCTTTTTTGGTACTTTATAATGACTAAATATGGGTTGAAAGGGTTTAAAAAAAAAAAAAAAGAATAATTCTGCTTCTTTTTGCCTTTAGAAATACCAGAAATGTGTACTGTTAGTTCTCCAGACCCTTAACTGATGGGGGAAGGGATGTTCGCTTCTTTAGTATGACGTCCTCTCTCCAAAATGCTCGTTAGCATTGGCAGTGAATAATGAAAAAATGAAGAGTTTAAAGAGTCTGACTAAAAATCCATTCCCCTCTCAATGGCTGAGCTTCAAAAACTATTAACTTCTAACGTAGAAAACAAGCAGAAACAAAACCTTTAAAAAACATTTCAGGTCTCCTTTATCCATTGTAAAGAAACACAAAAGGGCACCAGGCCAATTGCGATTCCTTTGCAGGTCAGCTCAAAACTAAAGGCTCAGCTGGGATCCAGATCTGGGTTTCACATACCTCCAAGGCTGAGGGCTGCTCAGCCCTGAGTTGTTGCTTTTTTGTTCAGATGCCCCTCTAGTTCAGTCACAGTTGTGAAGAGGTATGGGAGACCTGCTGGTCTGCACTGGGCCCTACTGGCTTCCCCCAGAGAACTACTGGAAAGAACCAACCAACATTCTGCTGTTCCAGGGTGCAGGGGAATTTTAGAAAATGGTCTGAGGTGCCATCATTCCCTTGGGTCTCTGAAGAAATGCCACCCGGGTAATTGTCCGTTCTCATTCTGCTCCCTCAACGCTACCATGTTCAGCGTTGGGGAGAGGGACAGGGGGTTGCCATCATTCACAACAATTATGTGTTATAGTTTTTCTGTATCAGCATCTTCTGAAGGGGCCCATCGCTAAGGAATGATCCAGAAAGGAGGAGGCAGCACTAGCTCAAGGGATCTTGCTGCTCTCTGCAATACGGACATGGCTGTTCTCAGCCCACAGTCAGTCCCACGCTGAACAGTCACTGGTGGCCTGAGCATCCACAGCTCTTATTGAACTCAAAGGGAACGGCAGGTGCTCATCACCTTTGAAAACCAGGCCTTCACCATATTGCTGCTAACTTCAGTAGTCACCTGTTCTGCCTACCTGGAAGAGCCCGCCAGCTATAGGATATAGGAAAATGGAAGAATTCCCACCCTTCCCATTTATGAATACAGATTTGGCTTGAACCAGAATCCATCCTCAGAACACCCCTGAACTTTAAGGAAGTTCCTTTCTGGATCCCAACTGCACAGTTTAGGCCCATCTTTATAATGGGCCTGAAAGGGAAACCCAAATTCCACCAGGCTTTGGGCAAGTGTGGGTTTGGAACTGGATCTGGATCCAAACTGGATCTAATTTGGATCCAGTCCCGGAGCACCCATGGAGTTGGCACCTACGTAGCTAGGTTGATCTACCTTTTAAGCATAGACCGGGGCTCAGATTCCCAGCCGTTCTTTAGATCTGGAACAGGTTACTCTTCCTCCTCTGGGACTAAGATATGGTAATACCACTCAACTGTTTTCCAGCCACAAGGAAGCAATGGCTTTCACATATGCTGGCAGGAGAGGCAGTGCACCCTTGTGTGCCTCCCTCCCTCGTTCTTTGTGTGTGGGTGTCTTAATTTCAGTTCATCTTCTCTCTCTCTCTCTTTCTCTTTCACAGTTTTCTGTCAGTAAGCAGAATCATTCTTCTCCCCAAGGGCTTTTATGACCCCACTGACAATGAGGTCAGTTGTTTCTGCCACTTCACTCACCAGCTAAGAACTTGAAGAATAATACAAGATTCAGTTTGCTTCTTTAAAATAACAAAACCCGCTCCCCTCCCCATCCCACCAGAGCCAATGACACATCAGAAATACTGCTAGGTGGTGTCAAGTGCTCACCATTGTCACCTTAGCACAGGATGTCTCCCTTCCTTCAGCAGACAAGTGCTATTTTGACATGCTGTCAAGACTTTAATGCAATTCCCAGCCCCTACCCTTTCCTCCAGCCATTCTCTGTGGAGTCTGAAATGCTCAGAAGTCTAACAACTTTGCTTTGAATTTCCATGGGCGGGAAACAGGACCTGACTGTGAGACGGCTAAGGTTGATGACACCATGTTAAAGCTTCCTGCACTTTTGGAATAATGTGGGTGCAAAAATTGCATACATAATTCACCACTGGTGGTAGAAATGGTGACAACTGTAGTGTAGTGTAGGCAACACAGTGGTAAAAACATCTGAGGCCGCTGGAGTTTTCTAGTGGCGGCAAGGCCTCAGAGTGCAGATAGGCCATGAAAGGGCCTTCCAGAAGAACTACATCACATTCCTTTTCCTTTAAGCACCTTTGCTTTAAAACAGCGTTTTATGTTCTTGGCTTTCTACAGCTGGGGCAATATTAAAAGAGAGCATCTCTGAGAAGGTTTTTCTTGAAATGCCAAATCTTTGCCCTGGATGAGAAGGTGGGGTCCTGGCCAGCCCCAGGGAGGGTGATCTAAGGATATGTCTATACAACCCAACTCAGGCTCATGGGACTCATGAGGGCTGCAGAGCTGTTTAATTGCAGTGTAGATGTTCGGGCTCGGGCTGGAGCCCAGACTCTAGGACTCTGTGGGGTGGGAGAGTCTGAGAGCTCAGACTGAAGCCCAAGCCTGAAAGTCTACACCACAATTAAACAGGCCTCCAGCCCAAGCTCTGAGTCAGCTGGCACCGGCCATCCATGGGTATCTAATTGCACTATAGACATACCCAAGTAGTCACAGAGTGCAAAAAACTAGGAATCAGTCCCTAAAGTGCAAGATTCCATGTATCCCTAACTGATCTTTTGGGGATGTGGGAGAAGACTGTCAAATTATTGCTAGGACACTGTTTGACTAAAAGGCCAGTCCTACCGAAGGTCTTTGTGTAGTAATGCCCTGGAAGGACTCCCTCAAGGTGTCAAAGCAACCAAAGAGACTGTCCCCAGAAAAGCTGGTGCAGGTTTCCCAAAGTGCTTGCTAGGACAGGGTTTGGGTGTTTTAGTGAGGACTGGGTAGATAGCCAGACAGGGTGGACACATGCAATAAAACTGAGAGTCACTTTACCACTGAGTCAGGGCATTCATTCCAAGAGCTCCCCAGGGACACAAAACAGAGTTGGAGAGAGGAACGTGCGTGTGTGTGTGTGTCTGTCTCAAAGGCAGCAAGTCTGTACTCATCCTCTCTGTCTCTCTGTGTTGCAGTGCAGGTTCTGGTGGATGGAGCCCCGGTTCGGATCCAGCTCTGGGACACAGCTGGACAGGTGAGACCAGTCAAAAGGGAATCAGCAGTTTTGGTTCTGACTAGTCTGTGGGACAGGTGCTATTAGCAGGGTTTGTGGGGAGGGCAGTGTACAGCTGGGAAAGAGGGACACATTCAGTAAAGACACTAATTAAACAGAATGTGACAAGGACTCTTGTCCCTGAAACTCAGCCTTCCAGAATGACGTGGAAGTGGCATGAAGGGGACATTGTGCCCTGTCTCTGAGATGCTGCTAGCATATTCATCGTGTGAAGGAGTCACTCCAGTATCACACTGTTGGAGTTCAGTCCAATGATCTTCTCTCTCATTTTTCTCCTGCAGGAGGACTTTGATTGCCTCCGATCACTTTGTTACCCTGACACTGATGTCTTCCTTGTCTGCTTCAGTGTGGTGAACCCCAACTCCTTCCAAAACATTACTGAGAAATGGATCCCTGAGATACGGACTCACAACCCCCAGGCGCCAGTGCTCCTGGTGGGGACACAGGCTGACCTGCGGGATGATGTCAATGTCCTCATCAACCTGGACCGCTACCGTGGGAGGCCTGTGCCCAAGCTTCAGGCTGAAGGCCTGGCAGAGAAAATCCGGGCACAGACCTACGTGGAGTGCTCAGCACTGACCCAAAAGAACCTGAAAGAAGTATTTGACACAGCCATTGTCAGTGCAGTGGAGCACAAAGCCCAGCAGGAAAAGAAGATGACAGCCAAAGGGATCAAAACCCTCTCCAAGTGTCGTTGGAAGAAGTTCTTCTGCTTTGTCTGAAGCTGGTTTGGCAAAAACACCTCATGCCAGTGCTGATCCCACACCTTCTTGGAGAGCCATGTGACTGCACCTATGGCTCCTGCGAGGAGAGTGCTGTGAGCTGTTGAGGCTTGGAGTCCTGGCACTTGCTGGGTTGTGGTCACAGGCCTGGGAGACATGAAATGGACTTCCATTGCACCAGGTTACCAAATGGTCCTTCTAGCTTTAAGCATCTGGTGGACATGCCTGTGGTGTCCCAGATCAATGGGAGCCTTTGAATATATTCAGACTTGGTCCTAAAGAAAAAGCAGGTTCACTATGCCCAGTATGACCAGTTTCATTTCTGAAACCCAACTAAAACTTCCAAAATCCTGTTCCAGCATAATCTAACTCTGGTGTAAACCTTTTGATGGATTCTGGAGAGCTGGCTCTATTCTGGCCGTTCTAAAGTCTTGGTTGGGAAGAGGGAGGGGGTAATTAATGGAGACTACTGTGTGGTCTGATAGGGACTGCTCAGTTTTTAAAAGTAGGACTTAAATGCTTCCCCTCTAGTTCTGATCACTAAAAGGGGGTGGGGGAAGAGTGTCATCAAGATGTGATAGAGCAGTGCTCGTGGGTTTGTAAAGATACCTTACCATGTGGGAAAGGGCTTACCTATGAGGCATATCCTGGGAAGAGACCAGTGGCTGTCTGAGGGAAAGCACACTGCAAGCTGCAGTCATCCTTGAAGCAAAACATCGCCTAAAGAGGGCTCCATGGTACAGAGGGTGACTGTGCTACAGCCACATGCTCAGAAGTGATCACTCCTTTTGGGTGCCCACTTTGAGACACCTTTGTGCCTGATGTTGAGAGGTGCTGAGGCGTGGGACTGCTGGGCCTTAGCACCTCTGGACATCAGGCAAAAAGGTAACGCTGTGACCGTGAGGGGTTGATAATGCAACAGGGAAGTGCAGTGGTGTTGAGGGAGAGAAGGAAAAGCATGTGATAGAAGGAAGAGAGAGATGTGGAGTGAAGCCGAGAAGGAAGGAGAGGGGGGAAGGTGAGGAATGAAGGAAAGGGTAAAGAGAAGGGAAGGGAGGAAAGAGGGGAAGGGGAAAGGGAAGGAAGAAAAGTTATTCCACTATCATACTTGTAGGATTTGGCTCACGATGAAAACTCTAGTGAGCTTGCTTTTTAAAATATTTTTGTCCCTCAGTTTCAAAATTCAGGAGAAAGTAGTGGGGGGACAGGATGGACAGTTCCTCTTGTTCAAATAAAACCATCAGTTTAGGTGCTGTACGGCAGAACAGGAGAGAATCGAGTTCCCCTTGTATTGTTCAAACCTTGAGGCTGCAGGCTGAGAATTGAGGGCCCAGGGCTCTCCTCTCTGTTCTCAGGAGTTACAGCTTGATCCACTGAGGTCAGAAACAAAAGAAACCCTTAAAGATCCTGCCATAGGAAGACACCCACTCTGTCTGCTCCATGCCCTTGCAGCGAAGGAGCCCACTTTGTCTGTGAGTCTGTTCCCTATGATCCTGAGAGCAGGGTCAGTTTCCCAATGCGATTACGTACCCTTCCTATTACTGAGCTTATCTCCAGTTCTAAAAAAATTTCCACAGAGACATTTCAATCTAGTTTACAAGGTAGAGAACATCATAGGCCTGTCATGCAATGCTTTGGAGAGTCAGGGGGTGCTCTGCACCTGACAGTCAACCATGCCTTTGGACACTCTCTCTGAGATAACATGAGGCCAGGGGATACATTTGGGGGTTGTTTATACACACACCCCTTGTCTAGGCTGACTATAAAAACCACAGCATTCAACATGGGTGGCCAGAATGTGACCCATAGTTTAAATGCCACTCAGATGACAGTTACCTTCATCTTTAACACAGAGGTGCAGTCCACTAAGAGTAGAGCCCCAAGTATGCAGTGCAGCCAGGTAAGATGGAGCATTGCATGTAGAGACTTGTAGTCTCCACTGGCTGTATCCCTGTATTAAAGCTGACCATAGCTGCAATTGTTCCCTTTTGTGCAAACTGGGTGTGGCCCTTCTGAAATGTTACTGAGTTCAGCTGGATCCAGTCATACAGGGCCAAACTATGGAGAACACAGATCAGTAATTAGAACTGAAGAGAGGTGTCCTGGGTTATTTTGCCATTATACAACCATGGGCAGGGTACTGTCAGTTGAATATCACTTTCAGCCATAGATATATTACTGCATTTCTTTCCTAGCTGTGTAGGACAGCGCTTCTGTGTAACTAGTTCAGCTTCCAGGTTGGGTCTTTGTGCATTTCCATAATGTAAGAACAAACCCGGAGACGGGGCCGATAAGGAGAACACCCCCTGAGCCTGAGGAGGGGTGAAAGCACCTACAGGAGCTCATTGGGAGTGCTGGACTTCCCTGGTTCCCCAGTGCAGAGTGAGTGCTGTGGAGAGCTGGTATTGCCCTTCAGTAGCTCTGTACGGACAATGGGGTTGCTTTGTCCCAGGAAAGAAGCTGCACTCAGAGCTGCTTTTGTCCACTGTTCACCATGTCTAATGTTTGTTCAAATAAAATGGTCTTATTTGAGAGTGACTGAAGTTTGTGTTCATAATTTCACTGGTGGCAAGAAGCCTGAGGCCTTCTGCGGGTAATGGGAATGTTCTACTGGATAGCCGCCCTCAGAACAGAGCTATGTCCCCTTGTGAGGGGGTGTCCATCCCACATAGAAAGGGGGTGAAGGTGGCCACATAGGCCTATTAACTCCATAGGCTGCACCTGGAGGAAGAAGAGCCAGGGAGCAGGGAATTGATTGCAAGCAGGTTCAGCTGGGCAGGAATAGATGGGGCCTATAAAGCAAGGAAGCTGGCACTAGACAGGGGCTGCTAGTGGGAAGGACAATCACTTCCTGGGAAAAGAGAGGCAGGTTTGGTGTTCGTATTCCTAGGGAAGCTAAGAGTGGTAGGAAGCATCCCAGGAAAGGAGTAGTAAGGGCTGAAAAAGTGAAGCCCAGAACTGCTGGATTGAGGGTCCCTGGAGTGGAACCTAGAGTAGAGGGTAGGCCTGGGTTCTCCTACCAGCCACTGGAGTGGCACCTGAGGCAGTGAATGGGAACGCTGCCTAGGACAGTGGAAGGAAAGACTTTGATTTCCCCTTTCAGGGTATAACACATAAGGTGACCTAACAGCAGGGCTGAGTCACAAAGAGGCTGCAGCAGCTCATGGAGTAAGAGAGACTGCAGACCCAGAGAGACAGGTGGAGGACAGCATGCAACCATGGGAATGGATGTTGACCTGATGAGCTAATCTCCAGAGTGGCCAGGAGGAGGTGCCAAACTATTGGTGAGTGGAGCACCCCATCCCACCCTTTTTCTGCCCTCTGTTCCCCAGCCCAATTTTTGTTAGCATTGCTCATTATCCCTTCCTCAGTCCCAGTCCAATTCACTTCTTTAACTTAACTGCCAGTAGATTAGTTTGGGGTGGGGAATCTCCCAAGAGCTCCTAGTCACCTGAGATTCTTCCTTCCACCCTCAAAGGCCAGTCCTGGTGAATACTCCTCTGGGTAAGAAGGGCTGGTAGTGACACAAGAAGCAAGCTAGTCTCATCAGCCATGACTCAGCAGCAGCTCCTTAAGAATGCTGCCTTTGCAGCACTCTCAACACAGGGCGAGACGCTTAGATCCTCTCAGGGTAACAATGTTTCAGTGTAACAGCCGTGTTAGTCTGTATTCGCAAAAAGAAAAGGAGTACTTGTGGCACCTTAGAGACTAACCAATTTATTTGAGCATAAGCTTTCGTGAGCTACAGCTCACTTCATCGGATGCATACTATGGACGGTGTAGAAGATCTTTTTATATACACACAAAGCATGAAAAAAAATACCTCCTCCCACCCCACTCTCCTGCTGGTAATAGCTTATCTAAAGTGATCACTCTCCTGTGTGATCACTTTAGATAAGCTATTACCAGCAGGAGAGTGGGGTGGGAGGAGGTATTTTTTTTCATGCTTTGTGTGTATATAAAAAGATCTTCTACACCGTCCATAGTATGCATCCGATGAAGTGAGCTGTAGCTCACGAAAGCTTATGCTCAAATAAATTGGTTAGTCTCTAAGGTGCCACAAGTACCCCTTTTCTTTTAGGGTAACAATGTGTTGCTCTGGCATCAAGCTAGCCTCATTCCTACTAGCTCAGTTAGTATTTAAATGCTGACTGAGTGGTCTGTGCTGGCCAAGGCACAAAGGAAGATGTAGTCCCTGTCCCAAAGATCTTAGTTTATTAGAACCACAGTTGTTTAAACCATTCCAATCAAAATCTTGGGGCCTCCCAACCACTCTGAGGGTGGGGGAGAGACAGAATCCAGCAGAAGGGTTGGGGACTAAGCGGGAAGAAACAAGCTGGAGGACGGAGGCTGCTGAAAAGATGAATCTGTGAGGGAGGAAGAGGGTTCCTGCTGAAAGGCTCTCTGATTATGACCTTTCTTCCAAGCATGGGAGGCAGGCTCATTCACTGACTGCAATCTGCCACTTGCTGGATCTGCTTGAGTTAGAATATGTGAGGGTTGCAGGGGGGGTGTTAAACGCTCTCAGCTCAATGCAACAACCTATGGGGTCAGCGCTTGGCTCTGCTATTTCCCACAAGACTGCCTCATCTTCTTAATAAGACCTACAGAGATCGTGGAGGGATCTTTGACTGGAAGTAACAGTGAAGTGTGAATGAGCTCATGGAGTGATTCATTACAAAGCACCTCCTCTGTCATGTGCACAGCAAGTGTGCTAAAACTCAAGGAAATGTCAACAATGAACAATCCTGAACTAACAGGGGGAAGGCTGTTTTTTATTGCATGCAGTGTTGTGTCAATGATTTGCAATAGACCAGTGCCATCTACCCCTTAACTACAGGGAGCAAGCTCATCCTCAGTGCCTTGAAGCCTCACCCACATGGACCCTGTCTATGCTTCATATTTAGGGCCCTACCAAATTCACAGCCATGAAAAACAAGTCACAGACCGGATTTCATGGTGTCTGTGCTTTTACCTTATTGTACAGATTTCACAAGGGAGACCAGCATTCCTGAAATGGGCGGGTCCTGACCAAAAGGGAGTTGCAGGGGGTCACAAGGCTATTTTAGGGTGTTGCCGTATCGCCACCCTTATTTCTGCACTGCCTTCAGAGCTGGGTGGCCAGAGAGCAATGGCTGTTGGCTGGGTACCCAGCTCTGAATACACCAGCAGCGGTGCAGAAGTGAGTGGCAATAACATACCTTGGCATGCTTATGTCTGCGCTGCTGCCTTCAGAGCTGGACAGGCAGGGAGTGGCAGCTGCTGACTGAGGGCCCGGCTTGGCAGGTAGCAGCACAGAAGTAAGGATGGCATGGAATGTTATTGCCACTCTTTATTTCTGTGCCGCTTCTGATGGCGACTCTGCCTTCTGAGCTGGGCTCCCTGCCAGCAGCCGCCGCTCTCCAGCTGCCCAGCTCCGGAGGCAGCTCAGCCCCAGCAGCAGCACAGAAGTAACAGTAGCGGTACTGCAACCATCCCCTACAATAACCTTGCAAACCCCCCCCAACTCCTTTTTGGGTCAGGACCCCTACAATTACAACACTGACATTTCAGATTGAAATAGGTGACATTTACAGTTTTTAAAAATCCTATGACTCTGAAATTGACCAAAATGGACTGTGAATTTGGTAGGGCCCTATTCATAGCGACAGACTCAGTTCAACCTGCCAGCCCTTTGGCTCTGGCACAGTTAAAGCTCCTGCAGGGCAGCTCTACCCAGAGTTTAACTGTGTCTCTAGATCACTCTAACAACTTGGCTGCAGTTACAACACCCTTGGACTATAGGTGGAATGATGAGAGAAGTTACTGTTGCTCAGGTTTGAATACAAATCGCCCTCTTCAGGTTGGGTTTTATTGCAGGAGATCTAGCCTGACCCCAGATTGATACTAGCTGGGCATAGTCCTCCAGCTGCATTCTTTCCATGTGATTTTAATGCAGTTTAAGGCCAGAAGGGATCAGCATGATCCTCCAGTGTGACCTCCTGCATAACCTCTTTTT